CAATGACCCAGTTGGCTAATGCCTTAACCCCCGGCAGTGAAAAGTCCCTTATGAAAATTAATTTCTTTACTGGTGATAGAACCCAAGACCCAGTAGAATAGCTAAAAGAATTCGAATAAGCTGCTATTGCTAACAACTGGACTGCTGCTCGCCAACTTGCTCTTGCCCTGCCTATCTAAAAGAAATTGCTACCAAATAGTTCCGAGGTCTTAACCCTGCCATAATACTTTCAACAATGACGCTACCCAGGATCGAAGTTTTTATCATCTCTTCAAAACCCAATTCAGCTCTACTAAGTAAAAGATTAAGTGGCAAAAGCAATTATTTGAAATCAAACAAGAAGCAGACACTATAGATACTTACATCACGGAATATATAATATTATGTATAGTATACAATCGCAAATATGTATAGTATAGTTAATAAATTAAAATATACAAAATGTATATTTTAAATTTTATATATTATACATATATATAATAAAATTATTAAAATAATTATATATTTTGTAAAATTGTACGTATAATAAAAAATTATTTGGTATATAATGCATAATTAAGACTATATGTATAAGCACAATATAATTTATTTAAGCATATTACTAATTTTATATATGAATACATATGTATATTATTTATTTAAGCATTTTGCAAATTCTATATAGCATATATATGTGAATAATATTAATCTTCATATCCTAATTCTTTCTCAATACCTAGTTCACATGCTTTTTCATAATTTTGAAGCTTTTTTTCTCTAAGCTTCTCCTTTCTTTCTTCGATTTCTAATTGCCATTCTTCAAGTAAAATTTGTTGTTCTAATTGACTTAGTGAGTTATCTTTGGTAGAGTTACCTTTGGTAGAATTAGATTTGATTCATTTGTTCTTATTTGTTGATGATTGTTGATTGCGTTTTTTTATCTTTAAATTTAATTAATTATTGTTAATTTTAGTTTATTTATAAATAATTTAAAATTTTATCATTTATTTACCATAACACTTTATTGATTGTGATGCATGAGATATTTGCCCATTATTTTTTCCAGTTTTTGCTATTCCATATTTATCTTGAATTTTACAGGTAGTAAATTTTTGAATATCAAGTCTTCGTGCTCTAAAATTAAAGTTATATTAAAAATTAAATTTTTTATAATATAGTATATAATAATTTTTTTAACAAATTACTTTTCAATTGCATTCATCAAACTTAATTCTTTTCCATCACGATTAATGTCAGCGTGTGCTAATTCAGCTATATTAGTTGTTTCACCAACTATACACCAAATTTCAGTATCAATTTTGGAACAATGTTGGTTTAAACTTGCAAGAACCCACGGTTGATTATAAAATTGTATCTAATCTATATTAATATTAAATATATAAATAATTAATTTTTATATTAAATATTGTAATATTATAATATTTATAAAGGTTTGATTTTAAATAATAATTAAAAATATTTTTACCATTAATTTCCTTTTTATTAAATAATGTATCTCATTTATAATTAGTTGAACTTCCTTATAACTTTTAGCGGTTAAGATATTTTGCATTAATTTTGTAACTTGTTTTGAAAATTAACGATTTAAAAGATTTCTAAAATAAAGTATTAACTATTAAATTAAAAATTAGTTAAATTATTTACAAATAAATTATATTTACCTTTGATAATGTAAGCGACAAGTTTTAAAAATATGAACAAGATGTTCAGTCCAACTTAAACTTGGATCAATATTTGATAAAGCTAACCCAAGCTCTTTCGCTTGTGCAAGATCCAAGTCACCTAAAATACAACTCCAGCCATTATTATGTATATGTTTAATCTTTACAGACATATTTGTTAAGTTTTTAATTGCTTCAATTATAATTATAAACATTTGCTTATATGCATTTGCATCAGAAATATTCATAAAAATTCTAGCATATGTTAATACTATAATAAAATAATTTATTAGTAATTATTTAATAAAGTTTAAAATTAAAAATATAAAATAATATATATACTTATTTGATGATTTTCATCATATTTATTAAGCTCGAATATATTTATTTCACCTTGTACAGTTTTATAAGTCAAATCTATTTGAAAATATTTTGCTTCATAAAGTTTAATAGCTTGTTCTTCGGTTATACAAAGAATCATTATATGACCATCATCAAAAAAGTCTTTAATTATATAATAAATATTATTAATATAATTTTAATATAAAATAATAATTAATTTAATATAATATCATATTTAATCGTTGAATATAATTACAAATTTCATTTTTATTTTTCCAAAAATTATATACTATTCCAAGAATGCCTTGTCCATATGGATTTTTAGCTTGTTGTATACGATCAACTAAATATCGAAGCTGATCTAAATTTTTAAGTAATGCATGTATTTCAGATAATATATTAACTCCAAAATATGCATGTACAAGATTACCTAAATTATATAAAATTTATTAGTTAATAAAGTTTATAAAAAACAAAAAAATAAATTTTATTACTTGAAATAATTTTTCGTGGAGTAATATGATCCAAATATTCAGAAGCATTATTAATCATTTTATTAATATGATTTTTAATAGCTTCTGAAATATGACTAGGTGGTGGAGGCGGATGGGTATGTTCACCAACACTCACAAGAGCAACATATGAATATTTAATTAAATTTACTGGAGTAAGCCGATAAAATGTAATATCACATGATAAATGAATTAAATTAGCTTCTACTGGATTTCTATTATCATCTATATGTGGAAATGCTAAATAATATATTTATAAAAATTGATAATAATATATATATTTTTTTTTTGGTTTTTAAGATGACCTCTTGGTCGATTCTCTTTATTCAGTTATTAGTCAAGTTTTACCGTATACTAAGCCCCTTATGATGCCCATACAGTATACATATTTTGGAGAGTACAAACTAGCCACACGTACAACTTTTGATTGCCTATTTAAGTAGTCCGCTTATTACTAAGTTTTACACTAGATGCCATACCTATAATCCAACTAGGGAGTTACCTATTTAAACCCTCTGCACCATATGTGGGTCAACTATTATTATAACGATAATAATATTAATTTTTATTATTTTAATATAATTATTAAAAAATTATTTAATTTATTACTTACAGCATATTAATCGTTTAGAACTATTTGATAAAACAGTATTGCAATTATTATTTATTTTAGATTGATTTAATTGCTAAGATTATAAAAAAAATTAAATTAATAATTGTAATAAAAATATGATACTTAAAATTAATATTAATTATATGTTATTTAAATTACCATTCCATTAATTAAATTTTTTAATAAATGGTGATCAATAGTTTCAGTAAGTGGTACATATCAATGTCCAGTAGTACCATACTTCCAAGATATACAACCAAGAAAGTATCCATTATTTAGATTAATATTTGATTGTAATTCATTTGAATTAAGAGCTTGTGTTCGTCTTTTTTTAATAACTAAATCACCAGTACATCGAATATCATTAGCTTGAGTATATGGACAAGGTATTTTTTTAGGTGCTAGATAAAACCTAATATAAAATAGTTAATTTTTATTTAAGCTTTAAAATATAATTAATAGTAAAATTTAAATAAATATTAAATATTACGACAAAGTATTAGCTTGAATACTTCGAGATTCATCAGCATTTTTAATGGTTTGAAAAATATTTGAATCGAAATCAACACTAGTATGCTTGTAATTAATTATATGATTATATGCAAAAGGGCAAACTTTAATCCCTCCACATTTTCGTTGATCTTTAATACTTGTATTTTTTTATTGTTAGATTCATCAAAAAATGGACAATTAACATTAGAACTTCCGTCTTTACCACTTTGTAAGTATTGGATCTAATAATAATTAAATAGAAATTATAATAAAATCATTAATTATAATAAAATTTATTATATTTATATTAAAAAATACAATTTATATATATCATAAAATACAACTCAAGCTTTGTCTCTCATTAATTTTTGAATTTGAATATCACTACTTTGCTCTTCAGAATAATTTTCATTATCAATAAAGTTATATATAACTGCATAACCTTCAGGATCAGTAGATAGATATTCAACAGAAACAGCTGAAAATTGAATATGCCGTGCAGTTAAATTTTTGGTAAAATAAGCGATTTCTTCAATATTATCATCGTCACTCTAAATAATTTATCAATATTTAATATATATATATCTAACTTTTTAATTTAAACAAAAACATGTTTAAAAATTTACTTGTTCATTTATTTCATTAAAATCAATTTCTTCAAAGGTATTATCAGTATCCGAATTAATATTAATAAAAGAGGCCATATCGAAATTAGAAAAGTTTTTGTTTTATTGTATTATGATAACGATAAAAACAGATACCAAAATATTCGCTTGCATAATTATGCTAATAATAATAATAATTACGTATCATGCATTACATAATTTTGCATAAATTTTATTAGTAATGATAAATAAGTTTTTGATTTTTGCATAAAATTTATTATGTATATATATAATGATAAATAAGTTTTCAATTTTTAATAAATATATTGTACATCAAGTAATTATATAATAACAATAAATATACAACCCGTATAGAGTATATTTATTAGTTATACATTCTGTATATACTACTATACATTATGTATAACATAGTATACTTGACATATTTGTGATTTTATACTATATATATATAATATAAATTCTTACATCACTCGCTTCAAGAGATTACAGACCAGAGTAGATCCCGCCAATAATTTTCCGGATGACTTTATCCTCCAACTATTTATTCAAGGACTTTGACTTAAGTATGCTGTTGGAGTACAAGCCAGAGCCCCTGCTAACTTAGCTGCCGCTATTACCGCTGCTCAGAATTAGGAAAATGGCAAACTTATCTCTGCCTCTACTACGGATACAGACTAAGCAATCAAACAACTAACTAACCAGATTGCTCAACTTAGCATCAACCTTGTCCAACAAAACCCTGCTTCCAACGCTGTACACTATGCCAAAAGCCCTACTACTGCACCAAGACTCAGACAACCACCTACCTGCCATTATTGTAGACACACTGGACACTTTATTGCTCAGTGTCGTGCTAAACAGAGAAACCAACAAGACAGAAGTCGAAATCGTTATAATAATAACCGTAGCTACAATCGATCTAGGAGCCGAGACAGAAACTATCCTAGATCTTACAATAGGAGTAGATTGTGAGACAGAAATAGATCCAGAAGCTATGACAACTATTCTCGAAATTGAGGTTACTCTCGAAAGCGAGGTAACTATTACTCTTTTGCTGAAAATTATAGAAGATCCTCCCATCCTCACCTTCTCCTTACCATCGTGATGTCAACTCCTTGCCCAAAACTTTAGATCCACCCCTGCTATGAGTCAACAAAAATGGGAAACCCTATTGGACAACCTTTCTATCCGAAATGCTCTTTCTGCTCACCTGAGCCAAGAAGCTAAAAACATGGCTATTACTTCTAAACCAACTACCACACCTGTTAAATGTAATATCAAGATTAGAAACAGACCTTACCAGGCTATTGTAGATAGTGGAGCATCTATTAG